TATTTGCATTTCTGTAGATATTATTCTCTATATAGCTGTAACTTTCTTTACTGGTTTGGAAAGTGTAGACAACAACATTCATAGGAAGAACAATATCAAGTTTATGATTCAACTCGATCTCGACACTAGTATTCCATGAAGAAGGATATCACTCCTCATCATACTCGACGAATGGTTTTAGATTCGAACTAATCAATCTTATGTCAATCAACAACTTGACCGGAAGAAAGTTGCTTGTATTTATTTCCATTGCAAAAATCATTGAGGTCTTGGTACAAACTGGCAGAAATGATCATAAAAGCAGAATTTACTATCTGATTTGCACATTTGACGACAACAATAACAGCAACTCTTGGAAGAAATAGGACAACACTTCTCACTACACCATTGTTCTCGAAGAGTCGTGAACATAGCATTTCTTCTATAGTTCGTCATTTATTTAGAATTGTGAATGGTGTTTTACGACCACTCGCTTTGCCTATATTAAAAACTCAATACGTCCCTCAATTGTGGAACGGATACATTTTTCTATCTAATCGACAAGACTAGAGACAATAGGGATATGAGCTAGTGTCCAGGAATCAGTTTAAATTCAACTGATTTCAAGATCATAGTTTCGGCTATGTTGAATCGAGTTTAAACTGTATTGAGTGGAGAAACAAGCGACTGTGCAAAACAGGGCAATCAACCATCAAACTAGTGAATAAGCCAGGTGCTTTGCTTGAGAGAATCAGAACAATGTCGGATTAAGAGCAATTTATTTTTTCTTTAAGCACCTTTCATTCTCTTATTCACGGAGCCTTACCTATAGAATTGCACGAGTTCGTCATAAATAGAATATTATTGGTTTCTGTCATATCATTCATGCCTGAAGACAAGCTCGATTTTAAGTTGCAGAAAGAGGGACTGTAATCTATCCTGGCCACTTTTGTATTGAACTTGGTGTCAAATAGAACGACTTGACCTTGTCCATTTGAATTCATATTTTCTTATGAATACTGTATTTGAAGAGTACCTATTATATGCTATTCGAATTTACCCTTAGCTTTTTTTTCACTGTTTATCATACAGCTCATCCTGTAACTTAGTTCATAAAAGCCTTGGTATCGTTGAGACTATCAAGTTTTATGGCTATGAATTGTACAGTTTTGATAGAACCCAGTTGTCACCAATCTGTTTCATCAAGGATCGATTTGATAGTGGGACATATATAATGTCGCAGTTAACTACAAAATCATATTCATACGAGGCAATTCAACTCAACTGAAAGGAACTGTATGCTCAGCAACTTTAGAGATCATTCCCATTTTAAGTAGAAGAACGCAAACATTCGGTTTATGTTGTTTGAAAGATTTGAATCCACACGACAACTTGAGAAGATTGACGAAGAAGCACTTTGATCCTAACCTTTGATTGTTAGTACTTCAAGTCATGCTGAGACATATGGTTATGTCCGTTTACTTCCTTTGGTGAAAAAAGTTGTTTCTTGTCTTTGTTATATTAAGCTATTACAAATTCAAGTTGATAACCTGGTACAGCTTTTACTAGTACATGGTGCCTTTCACAGCAGACTCTTTGTTATCTTTATGGATGAAGAATTGAGTTTGGTTTGTGTTGATTCATTGATTGATTGATTGATTGTTTTGTGTTATACTGGCCTATTTGTTTATCAACTGACAAATAATTGCACTTGGATTTGTACAATTGACTGATTCCAGTATTTGAGGAATAGTAGCAGGACAATTCTATTTAAAAAGGTGATTTAAGAATTCACTTTAGACAGATTGTTGATCCTCGAGTCAAAGACAAGTTGTACCAAAGAAAAAGATATATACAAGGTAAGTGATATAAATAGGAGTAGTTTCACTGTGCATTTTTAAGATAAATACGGACTGGATTGGATAGTGCTAACAGAATGAAATGGGTTGTTTGAAACACACTGGGTTGTCCGTCTATTATGAGTCTTTTAACTCATCAAGATCTTTTATCGTGACACTCGAAACCTCTCTGTCCCATAAGAAGAGTCGTTATACCCTAGACTTTGGTTCATATAGTATTCATATATTCTCGATAGTCTATTTAATACCGATTGCTTCACGATTGTATGGATTTATTGGAAGAATTTACCCAAGTAGACTTGGCAGACGAAATACCAACGAGTACTAGTATTCTTTCATCTAAATACACAGAGGACAATCTAGTTGATAGATTGCTTGACAAGAATCATTACTAGAGAAAATCCCCACATTCTTTCCTGATAGTTGTAAATTACTTTCTAATTGTAAACAGATCGTTGACCGAAACTCGTTTGAATCCATTGTTTCCAGAATTGACCCAATGTTGAATCATATTGGTATACTGTAGAATGGAGATTTTGTTGTTTCCATTGGGTTTGATTCTGCATAATATGCTGAGCACCATTATACACACTTTTTACTGATTTTTCTGCTAATGGGAAAGGTGCACACCCTTTCCCCACCCATTTCCCCCCATCGCAATTTCCCCACTCTCTCCCATTTCCAATTTGGCCCATTCTTTTCCACCCCACACCCATAATGACAATTTTCAAATCAAAATTGCGCGGGCCCATTCCAAATCGGCCACTCTTTTCAAATTGCCAGGAAATTGAAGAGGGGCCAACCCAAAGGCGATTGTGTTGATTTGGAAATTGCCATTATGGATGTTTGAAATTGAGGACAGTGTGTGTAAAAATCAATAAAGCCATTTGAAACAGTAAAAGATCATTCCAAGAAAGTTAACTTTGATTTCCACACTGATAACGAAACAGTAAGAGCCAATGCTTTAAAGACACATTCTATGCAAAAGAAGAGAAGAATGACAAAGAATGGTTATTTTTTTCCTTTTCTTCAAAAATACTTGTTTTGAATCACCATAACAAAACAATACGTTTTAATTCAGCAAAATTACAGTCTGTAACATTTTTAGGGTCCATCTCAATATTGTTTGAAATGACTCTTTAAAAATGGACAAGTACCCTTGAGAGTAACGAGTTTGGAAAAACACAAGTGATTGAGTAGCCAGTTGAATGATATCATCGTTTGGTTTACCAAGACATTGAACAAAGCTACAAGTCAAAGTCAAAGAAAAGTTGTCCTTTTCGAACAAGTCTTTACGAAACCTTGAGACAAAGGCACCCAAGAAACACAAGAAAAGAACCCTTGAAAACCTTTTTGTTTACCTATTAAAGCATAACCACACTTGAAGGATTGGAGAACAGTCTTATCCATAGTCAAGAACTGTGTTCTAGTCGTCAACGACAAGGGCTTGTTAATGTCTGTACGAAAAAGTGCAGCAACTACAGCCTTGGAGATAGGTTTGGTTTTACTAGATTGTCTTCAAGTGATACTTATAAAAGTATGTTTCACTCTCCAAACACTGCCCCTACATCGGGACAATATTCCCCTACTATTCCCTCAAATTATCCATACAATAAGCGTGTTGTACCCCTACATTTGTGAGACTTTTCCTTTGAACAAGTCTCCACGAAATCACCTTTACATATTCCTTAACAACTTGATATATCTTTTTCTAAACTCAAATATCAATTCATGATGTTGGTTGACCAATCTCAAGTACCAGATCCAAGAAATCACTTGCAACAAAAAAAGTGAATTCGCTTTATGAAGTCTTTTCTCCTTGCAACTATGTCATGAAAAATCCTTTATCAAATACAATAGAAGCTTCAATCACGTCTTTAAATACCAAGTTCTCTGTAAATTTGTCAATCTTTGTTGGTCCCTTTTTTGGATGAGACAACAAGACTTGGCATTGGTTTCTCATTAGATTGCTATTACTGTAGAATTCCCTGCCTTGTTGATTCTTACCCATCATCAAGTTAAACGACAGTCTTTTCCCATGTTTACCCAAAACCTTGATGACATTACATGCCCATTCTCTCCTATAGTTTGAGAGAGTGTTGTGATCCATATCAGAGACTCGTTACCAATTGGTTGTGTCGAGTATGTTCAACGCAATACAGCTGGTTGAACATAGTGTTGCAGCTTTTTCATCCTTTTTTTTTGGACTGACTGTTTCATTGTAAGACCAATCAATCTTTCTGTCCCTTTTTTTGGGGGAATAGATGAAATTTTTTTTGGTTTCCTTTTCTGGTTCTCAAGGTTATATCAACACTCTACAGAAATGGATATACACCTCAAGTTGTTTTGTAAAGATATTTTGTGATTCACTCAGTTTCTTGAAAACACAGAGACCAACATTCAAGACGTTGCAAAAAAATGCCGTGTAAAGCCAAAAACAACTTGTACACTTATTACCGATAACAATGGAGAGATTATCCTCAAAGGTCTAGCAGTAATCAAGGAGTTTTATTCATTGTATAATACCCAACCTACTGTTGTAGCTATTGTCCCAGCTTTTCAAGAAGAGACACAAGCCAGGTCGGACATTGTACAAGAAACGTTGATGGATCACCAAGAAACCGACTCTTTCAAATGACAAGACTCCTCCTCAACGACCCTTTCTCCAAGCCCATCTGTTTATTCTGTATCGTCACATTTATTTATTTCGACCATTTGACTCTTCACACTTTTATGAATGCGTCTCGACGTGCTTTGAACAATCTGTCCAAGACCTTATTGACTAGCTTTGGAGCGACTCTGTTGCATCTTGTTTGAAAGCACAAGTCTTGGAATGTAGGTTCTATTAGGTACTACTTTGCCTTTTAAAAGTCAAGGAATGGTTAAAAAAAAGATCCTGTTCATGCCGTAGCAATGCTGTTTGAGTTTTATGAAGAGGCATACACGTTAAACGAATATGTATGTTGGAGTCAATCGAAGAAGATAAAGTAAATACATCACAGGTGAGACCCAGAAAAATTTCAAGGAATTGTTCAACATTTCTTCCAATCGATTTACAGTTACTGACATCATAGACTTGAAAACACAAGCGAGAGTGCCATTGAAATTGTTGAAAAGTATCTCCAAGTGTTCCTGTCAAACAATAAATGGAAAAAGACGCTGCATATTCTGGATTTATTTATTGTTTACTACTATCTGGTTTAACGTAATGTCCACATCAATAGACGTTGGATTGCTGAAAGACATCACCGGTGGAAGAGATCTCACCACCAGAGGTCTATAGAAGACTTTTTGAAAAGTTCAAAAGAAAAAGCAACTAGAAAAGAACGTCTGTGTTTGCTTCTTTGAGAGAAGAATATACAAGCCTGCTCCAGCGTATGTTGTATTTACAAAGCTCAATTTCGTTGCTCGAATATGAAATGGATAGGAAAAAAGGGCTATAAAGAAACGATAGTGCTGGATTGTAGGCTCAAGACTATGGAAGAAATGAAACCTGAGAGTATGAGTTGACTCTTACAAGGAGATAAAGCATTTTGAGTTTTAGAAGACGAGAAAACTCTGTGCAAAAATGAGCGAGTGAAACAAAATGTATAAAGCTATATATTTATGGGAAAATGGAAAAGGTACAAAAAAATATGAACAACGTCATTCGAGTCAAAGTTGGTGTCTCACTCTTTGTTCCACTTTTTACAAGACTGTTCTTCAAGGAAACTATTTCAAATGTAACAAGATATGGAGATTGTTGGTTGTAATGTTTCATTCGATTGTAGTTTGATAGTGCTTACATGCTTTGTACGGGTAGTCTTCTCCAATGGAAGCCCGCGGACAGCTTCACCTGGCGTGCTATTCNATGGTTTGGAAATATTCCCACTGCTCNCCGAAGAGTCAACTTCACCGCTACTTTGTAAGTTGTATCCATAAGTTTGTGCATATTTTTCAGCCAACATTCGAGCCCTATGTGCTGCCTCTTCCAGCTGTTGTTTCCTTTGTGCATCTGCGGGGTCTTGGGATAGGGAATTTTCGGAAAGCGAAACTTTAGAAGCTTTCNTCTTTGCCGCAATCCTTGTCTGTAGTCTTGCAATCCTCTCTTCCGGTGT